TTCCTTTTGATATTAGTATTTGGATATTAGTATTAGCAATAAAATACTAAATGACACGAAACATTATATTTTTGATTCCGAAAATTTGCTTAAAATATTAAATAAGAAATAAAAATCTAGAAAAAGTTTCTTAAAATATTAAATACTAAATAACTAATTTTTTTAATTTAAAATATATATTTTAAATAAAATTGTTTTTAACATGACTGATTTCTGACTGATATTTATTTAAAATGAAAAACATAAAATAAAATCCGAAAACTTATTTTAAGTATTAATTAAAACATAGATCAAAAGGAGTTTTTTAATGAATACTAAACAACCCTTTTATCTTTTTTATTTAAAATATATATATTTTAAATAATTTTATTTTAAATACGACTGAACTCGGCATATTAGTATATTAATAACTTTATTTTATATTACGTGAAACAAAGTAAAATCCAATTAATATATTTTATTGCAGAATTGATGAAAAATAATTTCTCATATTGATTTTCTCAAAACTTAACTGCAGTTTAGATTTAATGGCATTCAATATAATTATATCGTAGTACATTGAAGAACATATATTTGACATTTTATAATTTAATTATTTTATAATTTAAAACATTTTGTATCAATTAATACGCTGTCAAAAGGCAAGAGATAAAGAATGATTTTTACTTAGAGTGTGGTTCTTTTTTTTACAAAATTATTGTAAACGTTAAGTGTTTTTGATTCCAACATTTTATATTTTAGTTTTTATTGCTTACTCTTTAATGATTTACAATTAAATAAAAATTAATAATATTCAAAAGTAACAAATAAACCAACCTTTCTTTTGTTAAAAATGTTGTAAACTGCGCAGATTTTGTGTAATATAAAATTATTATAAACCAATAATCATTAATTGTAACACAATTGAAATACGTAAGATATTCATGAACTGTGTATGTGCGTAATGAATTTAAGAAATAAAGCACCAAAAAAAACCGTGCAACAAAACCTATTAATCGGAGAACATTAAAAATGTAAAGAATTTAAGAATATATTATTTTACTTACTTCGTAATATGCGTTAATATTCGACAGTTAAACGGTTGGCGCGCGGCCTTGGGGTAGGGATGGCACGGGGATGACACGGGATGGTACGGGGTGGCGCGCCACGTTTACGCGTAGTTACCGCGCAGTTATTCCCTTACCAAGGCTCGTACAGGCAGGTAGCCATGTCGCATGCCACTCTTCTTTATATTTCCTTTTGAAACGTAATCGCGAAAAATGCTAGATAATACGAACTATTGTACTTTATGAATATTCACAGTATACGACTATTACAATAGTTCGCACGATTAATTATTTATAAAAGAATCAAGATGACGATCATGTTTCACGGAACAGATATTTCGTACAGTTCATTTAGAAACAAAACGCAATTGAAAACAGAATTTGTTACGATTTCGCAATAATTACGAAGGACATTAAGGAATTATTTTTGTTTAACGAAAATTTTTTCTCTCACTTGAGTGTAACTCTTGATTATACTTCGAAAGGTATCATGATTCATAAAAAAAACAATATTAATAAATATTCATGCAAATAACGCAATTCATGCGATTCGTACTTTTACAATTACTATAGTTTGTGTAATTAATAATTTAATTAATTTTTTATTTTCGTGTATTTTTTGTGATATAATAAAAAATTAAGCGTACTTAGGAAATATTTGTCAGTAATAAATGAAGTATTTCTCTTTTTTAATAATCTCTAGCTTCCGTTGACTCTAATTATATCTTATCAGAGTACACCATAATAAGAGATTCAGCCCTTTTATCTGAATTTATTTCGCAATAGTGACGAATTGATGTGAATTTGATATATATTTTTAAAAATTAACTGATATTTATATAGATAATAGTTGTGTATTATATTTTGAAGATCTTTCCTCTCACGGATACAATTTTGACGTGATGAGAGAGTTCAGTACCTGGAGGATATACATGAAAAGAATAGTTTTTCTTAACTAACTGAAAATTTGCAAATCTGTCTGAATAATATATGTAGATAAATTTTCAAATAGTTGATAAAATCGTTCTCTTTGTATAAAAATCCAAGGGAAGGAGGGAAGCTAACGTCGCCGATTATTTGTAACTGAATCGATTTAATTGTAACTGAATGAACCGTAGTCGGTTCGTCGCGTCGCATGTTTGCTCCGGAAGTGCCGTTGAAGTTATCGAATTAACTGGACTTTTTACAAAATCTATTCGATAAAGTTCTAATTTGATGCAAAAGACTTTTCTAAATCATTAGTCCGCGCGCGATTATGTATTATTCGCGAGTGTTTTTACGTGAGTGTTCTGTGCCAGAGGATGTCAACTCAATTCTGAAAGGAGGAGGAGGTCTGAGAGAGACATCCTGCACCGGTGGAGCAATCTTGGGGTAAATATTATTTTTTACTTGTGTAAAATTTATCTTTTATTGCTCGTTCTCAAATTATTTTATTTTACAATCAATTAAAAATAATAATTATAATAGAAAAAAGGGGAAATTATTTAAAAATTTAAAATATTTTACAGATTTATTTTTGTTTAAGTCTCCTTCATAAATATCAAATTAAATAATAAATAAAGAATCGAATAGTTGTAATATTATATTTTCAAATTTAAAAAAACGCATGTGTATGTGTGTACACACACACACACACACACACACACACACACACACACACACACACACACACACACACACGTATTTATATACGTTATGTATACTTGCAAACCAATTGTAAATAAGTTTTAAAATTTAATGAAATTTTTTATAAAGGTGACCTTCTAAAATTTTTTTGAGATTTTTTTTTTAAATATGGCATTGCATGTAAAGTAAAAAAATAATAAATAAATCGTGGTATTTTAGGATAGAAATATATATATTTAAAAAATATCAATTATTTATCTTCTTATATCGAAAAAAGTATATAGTATTTATAAAACATTTACAAAATATTTGTAAGACATAAAACAGATCAAAATTAAAATTATCTGACTAGTTGAATTCTAATCTCTTTGTCTCCAATTAATCCTAGTCTTCAACGTGTGATGCGAGCTTTAGCAGATTATTATAAATCAATAATACAGGAAGAGGAAATGCTTTATGAAAACAGTCATACATAATACTTATTATGTTTTCAAATATGAACATTTCCTGGAAGGAACTGATTCATCAAAATAATAATTACTGAAATAATTACAAGTTTTTATGAGTGTTTCAGGGGATTTTAATTTAATTCAAGTACAATTTGCGCACGTGCGTGCGTGTAATACGTGCGATAATAATATTCCTCGTGTTAATTGACATTGAATAACGTTACAAAATGAAGTATACAACGAATGATAAAAATAACTAAATACTGTTTCTTGTTTTTGTTTTTTTTCCTTAAAAATTACCAAGGCAATAAGTCAGGGCACTTGTTGCTGAAGTGCCAATATAACAGTAATATCTGCGGATGTCGATAATATGTTATAACAATCTGTATATACAGTATTTGAGTATCTGAGGTTCGCTACTAATAAACATTTCACAATAAATTCTTACGTAAACGTGTGATCTCAGGTTACGTGTACTTTCACACAAGATTCCACATTATGGTCAGCAAGCAGTCTTCAAGGTATTAATCTCTAAAACGCGCAAGAAGATGTTTTGTGCTAAAGTCAGTTCGAAAATTCCTCAAGTTCATTTCCGATATTTACGTCACATGTACATACAAAAATGGTCTTAAATGTGTTTATTACAAATTTTTTTAATACGACTGTAAAAATTTGAAATATCTGATTGTTTCATTAGTCCGGTATTTATTCGCAAAATTTTCAAAGTTGTTTAGAAAACAGATTGAAGTCTGGTTCAATAAACGAAACATAATATTTCCAAATTTTATAAGAAATTACTTGAAGATTATAATTAATTAAGAACATTAAGAAACGGTAACATAATTCTTGACGTAACAAAATCTATAACTTAAAATGATTGATAAAAAAATAAAAAAATCACATCGATATTGAAAGGACAAAATATTACAATGTTATGCGATGACTGTTTGCATATAGTCGGAAATATTTTTTGTCAATATATAAATAATGACGTAATAATACCGCTGAAATATATCGCGGTTACATGTGTGTTTGTTAATTACTATAAATAGAACTTTTGTAGCATCGCTCATTATGAGAATATCAATAATAATAATGATACAATAATAATACAATAATAATAATAATAAATCACATCTCTGATGTTCACATAGCTTTACTATACATATACTAAAAGCATCTTTGGTTTCCTTATAACCTTCAATCGCGTGTATACGAAAAGATTACAAAATGTGACTTTTTTTTAATTAATCCAGATCGCATACAAATATAATATTTAATACTCTTCAAATATTGGTTCACCGATAAAATTATATTCGATTATATTCGGTGATTCGGCAATATTCGACTCTGCAATTCACAGTTTCACAATCCATCCTCTCGCCCGCCATTCAACAAAGAAAACAAGAGCTAAAAATCTCCATAATATCCATAACGTGATTAAAGCTCTCTTCGTAACACTTCCGTAATCCACGTTACCTTAAATACACTATGATATGCTCTAATTAACTTTTTATCCCGTCCGGCCGGAAATTATGTTAATAGACGATTTTGGTTGGAACACTGCACCAAGGGAAACATTACTACAGGAAACAATCTGTTGTCATAAAAATCTATTGTAGCTTTATTCTATCTAACTTTCTTTGTCGTTGGAAAATTTCGCAAACCGAGGTCCTGCGGGATTCGCTATTGGGAAATATTAATGGCAACAAATGTTTAATGTCAATACGATGAATCAAGTCTGTAAGATTCGACAGTGCATCTCGACAATAGTTGCTTCGCAACATTTAATATCAGCAATAATAATTTCTTTTAGAATAATAATAATCGCACATATGTATTCCCTAGAAGGGCAGTAGGAAAATAAAAAAAACGCGCAATGATTGTTCTGCCAAAATCGATCGTTATGTTATCGTGTCATTTAATGATTGTTGTTCGAAGACTTCATCTGTCTCGGCAGTTTTCGGGCAGCTTTCGATATAGAGCTTTATCGAGGACACGCGTGTGGTCCACCATTCGCCATACGCATGCAAGGAGGAAGCCTGACGCGGATTGCACTTTAAGCGCGGAACTAACAAAGACGATCGTTTGAAACGATACCGTTCGAAAAGTATCTGCAAGGAAGTGCGGTCAGCAGTCTCAGCTTCTGATGCAACAACCACGTTGTTTCGGTAATCATGCGGCGAGCAAATTCTTTATGTTCTTTGGCGTGTTCTCCTCGTTCAAGTGTTTTGTGGTATAACGGAGGGCGTTCAGAAGGCCCTCACTTTTACAAGGCGGCTGGTCCTTTAATAATTTCACACAGCCTTTGACCTGTTAGATTTGAACCATACATAAGATTGAAGGAACATATATGGGCGATAGGAAGGAGGGAGGGAGGGGGAGATTCTTATTTGTAGCTTTTTACAATAAATATTTACAAAGCTATCAATAATATATTCTTATATAATAAAGAAATTCCTTTAACTTATTATATTTTTAAGAATTTGTCATATTTTTATTTGTTGACGATGAAAAATTCTTTATTTTTTCAGATTTTATAAGTTTCTTTTTAAAAATTATGTAATGATAAACTTTCATTTCTTGAATTAAAAAAAAATAAAACATTTTTCATAAGTGAAATATAAAGAATAAATTTTTTAACTAAGAAAGAATATATTTTTCTGGTATTCTTCATACGTGAATTCTGAAATAGAAGACTTCTCTAAGATATTCAAAATTTTTCATTATGTAATTTCTAAAAGAACTTTATAAGATCTAATAAGTTTAAGGTATTTTTGTTAATTTTCATAAACATAAAATATAACAAATTCTTAAAAATACGAAATGGTATGAGAATTATTTTCACTAAGATTATCGATAGTTTGTATACTAGGAGCATTATATTATTTATATAAATATATATTATAC